AAATAGGTCTTAAAGCCACACATTGTATATTTCTACCAGATTTAATCATCTCGACTTTTTCCCTGTTCTCCAAAGTCAAAAAGAGGTCAAACTTGGAAGAACTGGATGGGTAGCATTTGTTTATAAAAAAAAAAAAATTAGCTTTTTTTTAGCTATAGAACAATGTTATTCATTCAAAACCATGCAAAAAGTTGTCTTTTGATTAATTAATAGTAGAGATTAGGGATGGAACTGTTTATGAAAATCGTCCGAACCGTTCAGTTCAACTGTCTCGGTTCGATTCGCGTGTGTTGCGTTCGGTTCATGCGTTGTTCCATTTTCTCATAGGCGAAGCGTTTACATTCCAGAGCAGAAGGTGGCGGTACTGCGACCAAAGCCAACCACCAGTAGTAAACAAGAAGAAGAAGAAGCGAAGCAGCATAGCCGGGTGTAGTAGAAAAAAATCAGTTGATGTGGAGAATTGTGTGGGTATGGCGAGTGGGAAAGAACAGGAGTTGGAAGACACACCAGCAGCACTTTATAGGTCTGCTGTATGGGACCACTTTGCATTTAGAGTGACCTACGATGACGGCGGAAAGAAAGTTGTGGATAAAAACAGTGTGGAAGCATTGTGCAACACGTTTTGTTTATGCTAACAGCAACATGTCATGCTAACCCTGAAATCCCACATACTCCAGCAGCGCTCTGCTGCGCTCCAGACCACACAAAGTATAGCCTACAGCCTCAACTGTGGCTCCCGTCCGCTCCGCATGCGCAAGATGATTAAATTCAAAGCAGCAAAACATGCGGAAATGATCCATGGTTTTTTTGCGAATCATTAAAAATAATTACATAAAATATAAAAATATAACTTCATAAAAAAATTCCTTCATTTTTATTCATTTTTTTTTTCTCGGTGTAACAATAAACATATACCGAACCGAAAACCGTGACCATGAAACCGTGAACCGAACCGAACCGTCGATTTTGTGAACCATTCCACCCCTAGTAGAGATGTAAACAAATATTCAAATGTTAATAAACGGTTTATTAGATTTAGGGCTACAACTAATAATTATTTTGCAAATCGATTAATCTGTCGATTATTTTTTATATATAGTATATTATAGTATATTATTTTTTTTTGTATATTATTCGTTTTAAGTCATTATATGTGAAAGAAAAAATCCTTAGTCCTTCTTGGTATGGGAATAGCATCTGTATACAAGAGAAAACTCAGGTTTCAAAGTAAGGGATGCTTACCTTGATCAATCACTTTTAGATTAATTCATTACTCCAAAATGTGCCCTCCTAATTACCGCATGTCTGAGTAATCTTGGTGAGCAGCATACCTTCCTTGACCTGTGAAAACCAGTGTTTGGAAAGTATGTAATGCTACGTTCACACCGCACGTGATTGAAGCAGCAAAAGCAGCTGGTTTACATGCAAAGTCAATGGTTGACGCACATCAGGGAGCATCAAAAGGTGCTGCAGCGAGTTTCGAGCAGCAGGAGCAGTGTCTTGACACATCTGGGCAGCGTGACCGGCTTCACAAGCAGCAGCTGCTGGAGTTGGAAAAATGGAAGATTTGCTCCTTGACGCGCCACATCAACCAATCAGCAATGCTGCACAGCAACGCTGATGCAGATCGATATGATCACTGCACTTAAAACAGTTTATTAACGCCTAAATTAACTTAAAATGTCGAAAACTGCCGGCAAAATTTTTTTGCTTTTATTATTCTGGTGCATACATGGAAACTGTCTTCCAGCAGCCACGATGAGTAGCAAAAAACACCCAAGAGGGCCAGAGGCTGCTGTTGAAGAGGATTTCAAGTCACAGCGCATCGCCGGTGTACAGGGGTTTTGTGCTGGTCCTACAGCGAATTAATACTTGATAGCAGGTTCGTAATCTTGATGAACTGAGTGCACAGATGATGGTTTGAGGTGGACTTTCTCACTTAAATACATATTAAAACTACTTTTCACCCACTCATAACAGAAAATATAGCAAAGGCGCTCTCTGCCACTGAACACAGGAGCAGCAGACGCATTTGTAAACACTTTACTGGACGCGCTTCAGAAGCATAAAAGTTGGTCTTAAGGCGCGACAGTCCTCAATGTCTACAAGCATCAAAGATGAAGCAGCTGGCGCTTTTCTGCTGCTCAAATCACGTTAGGTGTGAACGTAGCATAAGAGTGCCCGATCCAGCTAAAAGCTAACCGGCACTGTAAACAAACGCCCACTTTCCCAGCTAATCTGTACAGGGCAGCAACCTCTCTTTTTTAGCTTAATTCCAAGTTTACGAAAATTGTTTTTTTTTGTTTTTGCCAGAGAGAGGTCTCTCTGCTCAACCTTTAGAAGTGACGCTACATGGAGAACCTTATGAAATGAGCAACCAGGCAGCTTTGTGTTGACAGAAAGTGTTTTTTTCCAGGATCATAACCAAATGACTAAATTTTACAACTTTGTGCCCATGTCGTTCTAAAGGCGATATTTCATAATATATATTTGCTGATATATGAAATGATTTAAATTGGCTTTAAGTTTCTACTTTGACTAGACCTTTCAATTATCTGACTACATGTCTTTTTAAAGGTTTATTATGCCCATACATGTTTTTTTCTCCATAATGCTGCTAAAATGTTTTTGTTTTATTCTGGCTATTTCCCTACCTTACCTTAGAGTTTCCCTGACCTCTTGTCTGATTTTCCAATAAATACTCTCCTTGTGTGACCCATGATGTCTGGTTGGTGGTTAAGGAATATATAAAAGGGGATCAGCGTAAAAAGGGTTAAAAAACTAAAAACAAAACGTTTCTTGTAATTTGTCTAAATACTATGATCCTAGAACCATTCAACTTAAAAAAAATTCACACAGCCAATTTGCACTATTATTAGTTCTATAACTACAAGTGGTAAAAAATTGATAAAATCTGACAAAATATGAAATGATTCAAGATCAAATGCATTTCTTCACATTGGATCTTTCTTTAGATGTCGCTTTGTGTCATTTTTGTAGCTATATTCTCTTTCTGTATAGCTTATATTTTCTTTAAATGCCACAGTCTACTTTCTAGATTAGTTTGTTTACTTTGTTGAAAATGTATTTTTATGGCATTTAAGGGAAAATAAGCTCAGATGTCTTTATTTGTGGGTCAGGAGTCAGATAATCCAACCATCCATATGACTGAAATCTGCTTTTTCTCCAGGAGCTAAGTAGTACAATCATGTAAAAGTGAAAGAATATCATCCTGCTCAGAGGAACAGACAGGAGAGCTGTAGGAGGAAAGTTGACTCTCAGCTCCAAGGGGAGTAACATTACTCTGTTTACACCACGCCTCTAAGTTTACCAACAAACCGTGAGAAATTCTGCACAACTCTGCAAAAAAAGATGCAATTTCCAGTCAATACTTTTAACTAATTTAACTACCTGCTCAGTTTTCCCCTGGAAACAGTACCGCCGTGTCCCTAGCTAGCAGCTGGTGGCTACTTTACATCACAACAACTCTCTGCTGGTTCGGTTGTCAGCCAGAAATTACAGCCGAGCTAGCCCGCTAACACTAGATTATATTTGGCCGTAACCGCCTGACAGGCCCGAGTCAGTAGTAAAAGAAGACGGTTAACCCTCACCTCTGCTCCGCTGTGTTCATGCTCCTCTCCCCGGACGGAGAACCCCTCTCCTCCGGCTCCGAACTCGGGCTTCTCCTCACTTCCACGACACTAACCGCATATTTACTGCTTTCTGGGGGAGGGTTGCCGTTGAACTGGCAGTAACTGTACGGTCCGCTGAAGATTACCCCCCTCCCTCCCACCCCCCCAAAGTCCCGTCCCTGTTTCGCTGGTTCCGATGCTTTAAATCATTTTAATCCGCTCCCCCCCGATCAAATCCCAGGTTGACGGGCTTTAATGGCGGCGGAACAGGGGGGAGGAGGGAAGCAGACGAAGCAGGGTTGAAAAATACACTAGAGGGGAAAGCAAAGAGGGCTCGAGCCGTGTTAGATCTGGAGGCTGGATCAGGATTTTACCACCTGAATCCGCCAGCTTCGCTGATTGGTTGCTTTTTTTCTATATCCATTGGAAACGACCAATCAGATTCTACGTCTTCCGTTCCTGCTGTTAAAAGGCTCGGAGGATGCATAACATAGCCGAATGTAGAAATAAAAACAAATGAGTACTGACTTTAAATTATTGCCTCTTTGTAAGTGAGTGTTTCATAGAATATAAATATTTTTTGAGCATCGTAATGCGTTGGATTTATAGCAAAACAGCCACGTGGTATCTCATCAAAAGGGATGATGTCATCGTGAAAATGCTGCAGCGAGCAGTCTGCAGCAATGGATAACACAACAAGTGCAACAGTTCTCAGCTTGAGGTTACTGTCACCATGTACGAATAGATTTCTCATTTACAGCCCATCAGCAGAGGCGTAGCAAGAACATTCTTATAAGGGTGGCCAGGCAATAACTTATAGATAGGCACCAAAACCTCATGGTCAATCTACACTGTTCCAACAGGAAGATTAATGAGCAAAACATCCATATTCTCTAAATAAAGACAAACAATACTTTCCCACAGCCTTTGCTTTCTAATAGACGAATATATTAAATTATCCGTGCTTTCTAGATAAAAGGTATAGTCAGGGCCGGCCCGAGGCATAAGCGAACTAAGCGGCCGCTTAGGGCCCCCTGGTGGCCAGGGGGCCCCAAGCAAAAATGATTCAACAGGCCCTGGTCAATTTTTTTTTTTTTTTTTTTTTTTTTTTTTTTTACATTTAAATAACTTAAACAAGTGATATAAATGATGAATACCAATTAATAAATAAAAAATTCAAGACAAAAAAAAATTCTGATTTGTCCACAACTGCTCATGCGCATTCACTTCGCGACGGCAGCCGCAGACAGCTCACGGTATGCAGCGCGCCTGCATTGACAATTCACACTGGCGCGCACCTGTTAATAACCAAGTCTAAGCCATGTCACAAAAAAGGATTTATCCCTCTGGTGCCGAAAAAAGAAAAACGAAAAGGAAAGAGGAAGAGAAAAAAGAGCAAGATAAAGGTATGTTTGCATGATTATTTACTGACCGTTATATTTTGTGCAGCAGCAGCACAGCTAGCTAGTCATCATAACTCATGTCGTGATATTTATCAGCCATCCATCACCATTAACAGTGAAATATTACCCGTTATTAATATACATTTATTTAGGTAGGTGTGTATTTTATGTGTTGATACATATCGGCGTAGGAGACCCAGCACATGCTGGACGGACTATGTTTCTCGGCTGGCCTGGCCTGGGAACGCCTGCTTGGGAATCCCCTCGGAGGGGAGGGACGTCTGGGCCTCGCGTTGAAGCTGCTACTCCCGCGACCCAACCCCGTATAGGCGGAAGATAATGGATGGATGGATAGATATCGGTTTAAGTTGGAGAAAACACAGATGCCAGCAGCCAGCTTAGCTAGCATTGTTGTTTGTGTTAAAATGAATCTACTAACTTAATAGACAAAGCACATGCGCTCTCTGCTCTAAGATCTTTGGTGAGAGATGGTAATTTATCTTTATTAGAAAATATACCAAAAATGAAAATAGAGTGCAGTTTTATTAACATGGTGCTTTCCTCATATTTAGGCTGCAGTAGATCACAATGTTAAGTTTTTACCATATGGCAATTATGCCTCATTTGCCAATAGAATATGAATTGTTAGGTGAGGTGTGGAGTTTCTTGTAGTGCAAGATGGGAAAATAAACTCATTCTACAATAAATTATCAGTAAATTTAGATAAAACCAAATTCATGATATTCGGAAAAAATTAAAAACAGGAAAACAATCCAATTAAAATATCAATTGAAAGTGTTGATTTAGAACAAGTACATGAAATAAAATTCTTGGGTGTCATATTAGACGATAAGTTTAGCAGGAAACATCAGATCAGCCTAGTAAAATCTAAAATAACCAAAAGTGTTGCTGTTATAAGAATTAGATTCGTCCTGGACTACAAATCTTTGTTTATTTTGTACAAAACACTTATTGTACCACATTTAACATATTGTGTGGAAGTTTGGGGGAATACATACAAAACAAATTTACAGCCATTATACGTTTTACAAAAAACAATCAATCCGAATATTCCATAAAGTGGGATACTGGGAACACACAAATCAGTTATTTATCAAATAAAATATACTGAAATTCTGGGACCTGGTAATATTTAGAACTTCACAATTCATGTTTAAGGTCCGAAATCAAAAACTTCCACACAATATACAGGAAATGTTTGGTGACAGAGAGGGGGGGTTATGATCTAAGAGGTGAAGGATACGTTAAAAAACAACACTTTAGAACAACCAGGAAGATTTTTTGTTTATCTGTGTGTGGAGATAAATGTCTGGAAAGGATTGAATGACGAGTTTAAAAAAATTATAAATGCAAACCAATTTAAAAAACTGATTAAAACCGAGCTCATTTCAAAATACGCTATATAAGATGACTGTTTAATAGTCTATAATGTAATTGATGACATAAATAGTACTTAAAATAATTGTACATGGCTAAACATCATGTGGAATGGAAACAAGTGTTTTTTTGGTTTCTTGATGTTTTGACAGTTAATTGATGATAAATTGACAAGTAGGAAAGGGGCAGGACATTATAAGATGTATCTTCTAGCTGCTCCTTTTCGAACAGAAAATATAAAATTTGCATGTCACATGGGCAAAATAATTTGTTTTATATTTTTATTCTTACGTTTGTTTCATTTAAATTTTTTCTTTCTTGATTGTTTTTGCTGTCTGTTCGAAATAAATAAATAAATAAATAAAAACTATGCATTATGCAATGCTATTTTTCCCAGGAACACTATTGAAGTACTTTGGAGAACAACCAACTTTACCTGCCCCTACTGTTTCGAGTGTCAGTGCCTCCACAGCTGATGATGCAGCAGGTGAGGGTTTTCTTGATGGCAAATGGTTACATAGCCTGTTAATATGACATGAAACATTTAGCTTTTTATTTATTTCTTTATTTTTTCTTTGTTTGTTTTATCATTGCAGGTTCATCCACTGCACAAGCGACATCAAGGGAGGAGCACTTACATGTGACTGAAAGCGAGGAGCAGTTACAAGCACCTACATTTACTGATCCACTGGTTTCAAACTCAGCCGGCATGACAGGTCTGTTAATCTAAGTTTTTGTTTTGTGTTGGCTTTACAATAAAATTTTCTGCTATGTTATTTTATTCTTTTTTATGTAATCTATTGTCCCTACAGGTCCTTCTACATCTGCACCCACTGCTATAGATTTCCCATCTACTGCCTCAACAAGCTCCAGCTATCAAGATGGATCAACAGCTCCTCCAATAGACCCAGCTGAATGGTCAGCATTCCTCTCAGATTCAGAAAGGACTGATCTGGTAAGAAGAGGGCCAGCGCCAATCAGTGACACCTCTACATTCCCCAAGAGATCAGATGGACGAAGCTTTCACTACCACTATACATACAGACAATTAGTTAATGGGGAAAAAATCAAGCGAAGCTGGCTAATTTATTCAAAGAAAAGTGATGCAGTTTACTGCTTCTGTTGCAAATTATTTTCAAGAAAGTCCACAAAGCTGTCATCAGAGGGACTGTGTGATTGGGTAAATGTAGGTGCTTTGCTGAAACAGCATGAAAATAGTCAAGATCATTGCAATAATATGGTAAAGTGGAAAGATTTTGCCCTCCGTCTTTCTAAGCAGAAGACTATTGATGCAACAGAAATGGCCCTTTTGGATGCAGAAAGAAATCGTTGGAGAGATGTTCTTATCCGTTTGATTAGTATCATTCAGTCTTTGGCAGAGAGAAATCTTGCACTCAGGGGGTCTGTTGATACTTTGCATCAGGCCAACAATGGGAACTTCCTTAAAGAGGTGGAACTGATGGCAAAATTTGACCCTGTGTTAAAAGATCACATCAGACGAATTGATAGTGGAATGCAGCACAACACGTACCTGGGTAAGACTATCCAGAATGAGCTGATAGTGTGTCAGTGACAAAATAATTGAGGTAATGGTGGCAGAAATCAAGGACTGCAAATATTATTCAATAATTTTAGACAGTACACCTGATGTTAGTCACCATGAACAAATGTCTGTTGTGGTGCGCACAGTCACTCTGGGCACAACACCAGAAATAAAAGAGCACTTTTTAGGATTTCTGATAGCTCCAGAATCCACTGGCCTGGGTTTGTCCAATTTAATCCTTAACAGGCTTGAGGAATTGAACATCCCTTTTCAGGATTGTCGGGGGCAGTCCTATGACAATGGGGCTAATATGAAGGGGAAAAACAAAGGTGTGCAGGCTAGGCTATTGGTTAAGAATCCAAGAGCTTTTTATGTGCCTTGCAGTTCCCATACACTAAATCTGACAGTGTCAGATGCGGCTAAAGCATCAACGGATGCTTCTTGTTTTTTTGGAAATGTAGAGAAGGTGTACGATTTGTTCGCTGGGTCCACTCAAAGGTGGGACGTCTTACGGAAGTTTGTTGACATCACACTCAAATCCTGGAGTGAAACACGCTGGGAAAGCAGGATAAAAAGCATTGAAGCTTTGCGGTACCAGTCAGAGAAGGTGAGGGAAGCCCTGCTAGAAGTGAGAAGCAAAGCGACTGACCCTGTAGTGGCTGTTGAAGCCAACTCGCTTGCGGAAGAGATAGGTTCATTTAGGTTCCAGATTTGTTGTGTTGTCTGGTATGACATTTTGTCTAAAATTAACATCACGAGCAAGCTTCTACAGTCAAAAAACATGCAGCTTGATGTAGCAGTTAACCTTCTAAAAAAGAACAAAGGTGAACTTATCAGTTACCGAAAAACAGGCTTCTGTGATGCGCAGGCATCTGCTAAAGAAATTTGTGAGCGGATGAACACAGAAGCAGTGCTGAAAGAGAAGCGATTGCGTTCTACAAAAAGGCACTTTGCCTATGAGGCTGCAGATGAGCCTATAGTGGATGCTATGAAGAGGCTTGAAGTGTCATTTTTTAATGCCGTAGTGGATTGTAGCATTCAGTCATTGGAGGATAGATTTACATCTCTAAGTGAGGTTAAAGATAACTTTGGAGTGCTGCTCAATTTTAGGGAGCTTGATCAAAAAGTCCGGAGGGAACAATGTGAGCTTCTTGCGGAAAAACTCACTTGTGGAGAGGAGGCTGATATTGATGGTAACGCACTGGCATTAGAGATAGAGAGTCTTCCTGAACTTCCCCAAACTATGAAGACTGCCTTTGAGCTTCTCACATACCTCTCACAAAACGAGATGTTTGAGCTTTACCCAAATCTTTGGGTAGCTCTCAGGATAGCCTGCACTCTGCCTGTGACAGTTGCCTCAGCAGAGAGGAGCTTTTCCAAGCTCAAATTAATAAAATCATACTTGAGATCATCAATGGCCCAGGAAAGACTAAGTGGACTTGCAGTCATTAGTATTAATAACAAAGTTGGCCAAGCAATACCATACAATGATGTCATCAGTGACTTTGCCTCCAGAAAAGCTAGGAAGGAACGATTTTGAGGGCATTGTTGTACAATTCATTGTTGAACCCTTGCTGTTTTTATGTTTGCTTTCCTTATTTAAGTATCTGTTTTTGTAACATTCTATTTTTGATATTAATGTTTGTCTATATTGGTTTTATTTAAAATATTGCACAGTTAATGCACATTTGCAAATAAGTTATTTAATGTTTGTATTCAAAAGGTTTAATAAAACAAAGTATTGTAAGTATTGTTTATTTATTTTGTATTAATACATTACCATAGTCTATTCATTTTTAATATTCACTATAACATTATAGTGTGACATTTGTGTCAGTAATCTTCTAGTATAGGTGATTCTGCATGGTAGGAGGGGGGGCCCCCAAATCAAATTCTGCTTAGGGCCCCCAAGAGGCTCGGGCCGGCTCTGGGTATAGTGGGTAGAATTCTTTCCGGTTTGAGTTTTGGGTGGACATCTTTTCCGTTTTCATTACTTACCTACTTTCATCAGTAATCATTCTGCATAAATTTGATATTTACAAGTACTAATATCTACATGAATTGATTATTTAATACCTTTTTATTTAAATAGTTATCTATGATTTCACTGAAGTTTCCTAGATGACTCCTAGAGACTCTTCATTTTCTCTTTACCCCATAAAACACAAAATCTATTTCTGCTTTAATTTTGTGCTGATCATCTTTAATGTTAGTATATCAATGTGCATAATTAACCATAGTGTTTTTGTTGTCAAGTAATTGTTAATATATGAAAAATGTAAATGTTTTGAATATTCCACTTGAGAGTATTACTGCTACAACCATCTGTATTAGAGGGAAATAAATGCTAGGGGTGGCCAATGATTGGCTAAGGTTGGCCATGGACACCCTTGGCCCCCCATGTAGCTCCACCCCTGCCTATCAGATCCTAAGCAGTCATGTACGTTACGTCATTTTCTTAATTAAAAAGCAGCAAAAACACCCTTTTTATTCTCTTCTCTGATCCAGATAGTATGGATGTTCAAAAAAGCCATAAAAAAATCAAGTTGACAAACTGATTAAACAAGCAGTTTGCTTATTTTAAGCTGGAAATAAATAGCCTATACCTGGAAATGTTTGGTGGTCTTAAGTAGGCTACTTCATATATATATATATAGACTAGATTAGGCAAAATACCAAAACCTATTCAATATAATCTTTTAATCAACTGTCTTTTATTTTAAAAAGTTTATATTTCTTTCAATAAGAATATAGGGAGATCCAAAAGTGCCTTAATTTAATGAAAATTCACGATGATTAATTTACTGCACCGCTTAGTATAAGATGTCATGTATATATTCAGAAGAGGTCATCAATAAGGATAACTTACCATTTAAACGTAGTATGCTTTGATGATAATGCCACTACATATCTTTTCATTAGTGCCTATTTATTTCATGGTCATGTGTTGGGATAACAAAATTGATAATTTATATTAGAAATTAAAATGTATAAATAACCATTATTTCATTATGTAGGGCCTAAATATTTTGTGATATTATCGCAAATCTTGAAATTATTTAATCAGTCAGCTTTACTGGTTGAAGTCAGAGGGCCAAGTTAAAACTGCCTCAATCAAACTAATTATGAAATGCACTAACTTTAAGGGATTTCTTAATCCAGTATTATAAGTAAGGCTGTATTGTATCTGATATCTTCTTTGTACTCAAAGATTTTTTGGCTTAAATGTTATTTTCCATCTGCTGAGTCCGTCAGTACACAATAAACTGTATTCTGTTATTTAGCCTATTAAAACACTATAATTATTGATTCTGCAAATTCTATTCCTTACTAAATAAAATAGACATTGAAGAGTGTTCATTACACCTAATTCTTTATTATATATGTTTATTTGAACTTAGTTTTTGAAATCCCGGAATTTGAAAATCACTTATTATTTGTGGACTTTCACATAATTTTGTAAAATATTAAATCAGTTATGATCATTGGTAGCAAGTAGATCAGTTACTCAGTACCTGAGCTTCTGGTTAATTGTTCTCTGTTGGAGTATCATAATTTGATTAAGTATTTTCTCTCATTTCACACGATAAAATAATTAAAATATGCACAATCCATTCTGATATCTCATCTGATCAATACCTAAAGCTGCTATATTGGCATCGTATCGGAAATGAAAGTTTTCCATCGTGACTCCCCTCGTTATAAGTTTAGGATTTTCTAAGAGTTGATCACACTATAAACAAATTTAAGATCTGCATCACGTTAAGCTCTTTGAGGCCAATTGCTCATAAATAGTCTACAAAGCTTAACATTTTAAAAAGTATATCAGATCAGCAACAATAACACCTTTATTAAACTGATATTTCAAATTTGGATCGCTTTCATGTTATATTTAGATATAAAGTTTTATAACTTATTTTAATATCTATTCATTTTTGCAGACTCCAGGACAAGATGAAAATATACCTCCAATTGTATTACCAAAACAGTTTTACAAGTAAAACAAGTACAGTTTGTAAACCAGTAGCCTGCTTATTAAAAAAACAAAGGAACATCACATCAAATATGAATGTCTTATTTATTTTCCCTAAATTTAACCACCTTGTTCTCTGTGCCTAACCAAACAAGTCCCTGGTCAACTTTCATCATGTACACAAAGCCAGAGGAAAAAAAAAAAAAAAAAACAAGAACTAAAACCTAAGGTGTGTGCACTGGACTTTGTGCTTTATGGAGGTGATTACATTACGGCCGACTCCACAGAGGAAGCAAAATGTCACCCCATACAGTGAAAGTACGAGAGTATACATTCGGATTATGCTGCAACTTGAAAATATATTGATCTAAACAGAGTAGATTCTCAAATAAGTTAAATCTCCTGCACCTAAGCCCAGCATGTTTTCACTGCGCCAAAAGCCCACAAACCTTGATCAATGTATGTGAAGAACAAAGATTACAAGAGAACCACCTGTGAGAAATGGTACTCTATACATCACTCATCTAGGACAAGCTTATTCAGGACAGTAAGTGCTTTTTATGCGTTCCCCACTGCTATCTAATATACATTCATTTGTTTCAGTACTCATTTTACTTTTCACAATTACTAGGTTATTATGAAACATTTTGAGTGCCAGTTCCTTGTCAGTGATCCATTGGCATTACAAATCCAGGCAAACAAAAGCAAACAAAACTGACAGTATCTAAATAAAGCAAAGCTTGTTCACAAGACAAAGCCTCTCCCCACCACAAAATATATCTTGTGCAGTGCAAACATAAGTCCATGCTGAATGTCACCAGTTCATGCAAAGGTGTCCCACAACTGTTCACCACTCCCGTTGATGTCCTCTGCAAAAGCACGTCTCAGTTCTTCACCCATCACATTTTCTTTGCTTCGTTGGACTTGGCTGCTTTTCCAGTTTTAAGCCATCAAGCTTTTTTTTTTAACTATAACATACAGAAGCTCTACAAAGCAGCATGGGAAATGAACTCAGAAAGCAGCTTGATGTAGACCATAGGCATGGGCCAGTTACCACTATCAAGGTATACTTGTTAAAAAAAGAAAGTTATGGTCTCACATGTAGAAAAAATTTCAATGTTATCGTTTCTACAGTTTGAAGTCGTTTTAACACAATGCTCGATAACTGGGTTTCTCACTAGCCCCATAAATACAAGAATAAGATTGGTCTGCCAATCAGCTGGCTGCAACAAGGCAACTACATGTCGCTCAATTTCAACACAGAAAGCTTCAGCACGCATTTCTAGATGGGATAAATGTTTTTTTTTTTTATAACTGCTTTTTAATTGATCAAATATCTTTATTCATGTTTATCAAATTTCATACAACCTTAAGGTTATACTTTGGTTTTAAAATGGAAAACCATAGTTCTGATTGTTTAGTCATTTTAATAAGAGGTCAGAGAATAAACTGGGGTTGTTGGGAGATTTGTTCTGCTGGGTGGGGGCATAAAAGAGCCCTGGGTGACCTCTCCAGCAATCTCTTGCTGAGCACTGCTGGTTAGCTTCCTGATACAAGGTTATTGATTTTTTTTTTTTTTTTTTCCTGTGCTGACAACAAAGGCAGATGTCGCTATTTGCAAACATTTCTCATTGAAAAAAGATGCACACAAGACAAATGAACCAGCAGTTGTTTTGACACAAAGGACCAGAAACCAAAGCTTAGGTAGGAAACACTCATATTTCTAAGCAGCCAACTTCAGATTCCACCCATATAGAAAGTTGGACTAATAAAATTGCTTTTAAGTGAAAAATTACTTTTGTGAATTACATTTATTGAAAAACTGTGACTATATTAAGAAAGTCAAGTCATAATTTGACTAAAGAACCTTATACCCATCAACCAAGTCAACAAGTGAGGATTATTCAGTTATTCACAGGAATCTGCTGCCTTTTGGTTTAACAATGATTAAGAACATGCAATACATGCGTTATAAACCTTTGCAGAATTACCCGTACTGTGATATTTGTAGTTAAGGTTATTATACTGGCCCATGCCTATTAGGTAGAAAACATTTACTCAGGAAGGAAAACAGTTGCTGTACCTTTAAGTAAAGAGACTGAAAGCTGATAATGGAAAAGACATAAGATCTTATCTACTTCCGAAATCTTGGCTCTGAGCGCAGACGCATAAACTGCCCTGAGTGGAAGGCACTGTATACTAAAGCAGGGTCATGATGGGTTCTGAAAATCACATTATCTAGGTCCACACACAAAACACCGGCCCGAGCAGGTGAGAATACATTAGCGCTGCTGTTAACTATGCAAAGACAAGAAGGCAAGACATTGTCCTCTATTTCCACAGTTAAAATTCACACACAGGGCCTTCCATTACAGCTTTAATAGAGACATGTCTGTGAAAGTGTGTTGGAAGTGGTTATATGAGCCCGGTCAGTAGTATTGAGACAACCAGCAAGGTGAAAATGAAAGTAGCAGCCAGGTTTTATATGAAGAGAAACAGACAAATGCAATTTTACTAGTAGCTCTGTGTTGCAGCAGCAAAGGGAACTTTAAGCATCTTGTTAGTAAAGCTACAGTACACCGTGTTTGCCCTGTAAACCCTAAACAATGTAAAATAAAAACAAAAAAGGGTGAGTCCAAGTTTGGCTCCAGGTGCTTAAACAGGACAACATGTCAGCATTCGTAAAGCAAAATGAAAAAAAGGAATCTGAAGTTTTAAGTGCAGCAAAGCGCATAAAAATAATGCTAGTGACAGAATGCTAATATTCTTAATCAAATAAGAGAAACTGTTACTGCAACAAAATATATAACATATATAGAGCACCCATTTGGAAGTGGCAGAGTAAATTTGACATGAAATCTATTCACCGTCTAAACAGGCAACTTTTTCATTTAACAATTAGACACGGTGGAGCAGAGTCCTGCAAGTCAGTTATTGTTGCCTAAAAGTTTAAAAATGTTTAAAGGCCGCAGAAACGTCCCTTTGCTTTCTTAAAGGGATAGCTTAAAAGAAGGAAGGTGGGAACGACAAAAGAAAATTGATTGTGCAAGAAGTAATGCAAGAAACGGTGCTTCAAATCAGTAATGCAAATGCGACAAGACACAGAAAAACAAACATTAAGAGAGTGTAGGGGTGCTTTATCAAAAGCAATTTTGCCAACCAGCTGGCATAAACTGCTTTGTTTAATCCATCTCATTTAGAACTCATCAGGTCCACATTTAGGTACCTTAAATGGCCTCAAGAATATAAAAACGGACAGGTTCTACCCACAGCCTTGCAAGGTTTTCCCTAAAAGAAAAAAAAAGAAGACAAATTGCACATTGGGAAACCACCTGTGCATGCCTTTCACTTTCAACACTGGCACTTCTTTTGTCTACATTTGCTTATCTTTGATTGCTTCAGATGGCCACCTTAGCAGGTGTGTCACTTATTTGTGTCCTTTCCACATCCTGTGGCATATTTCTATGTGAGCTGTGAGCCTCGGGCGTCCCCATCGGGGCTGAGGGCTGCTGGTCGGCCTTGAGCTAAAACGCTGGCTGAGACCATATGAGATCCTTCACTCACTAAGTTCTCATATTCACTACTGTCCTCATCTGCATCGTCTTCATCATCCTCATCGTCGTCCTCGTCCTCCTCATCGTCTTCCTGCCCAGCAGCCTGTCTGTCTAAAGAATCAGAGCTTGATCCATCACCGTTTCCTAGGTATGGGGTGCTGGGAGTGCTGACTGCACCCAAACTGGAGCCGAGGCCCATGCTTTGCCTGAGGCCCAGTCCCAGGTCCGTCTGCACAGGAACCGGTGTTGGGTGTCCTGGCGAGCCCACAGCTTGGGGCCTTGGCAACAGAGCAGCACTGGTTGGTGGGGAAGAGGAGGAGAGCAGATTGTCATCTTGGGATAAGAGGTCAGCATACGACGGGGGGTTTGGTGAGGTGCTGGGTCGCTCTGGGGCAGAGGGTGAATCAAAAGTTATCCTGGAGAGAAGTGAAGCCTCGCAGGGTTCTGCGTTCTCCTCAGGTGGGGGGCGGGAGTCCTCACGGAGCCCTTTCCAAATAAACAGAAAGAAAAAGTTAGCTAACTTTTAAAATTGTGAGGGAAAATGCAGAAAAGAAAAAGTTCACCAATGAATTTACACAACTCAAAGAAAAACAAATGGAAAAGAATGGACATTTTTAGCCACCTCTTCTTTGGAGGGGGTATGAAAACTTCTCTAAGGCAATGTATATCTGATATATTGGCACCTATATGAATGTTATGCTCTGCACTTGACTTTTGGACCAAAGGAGATACATACTTCTTTCCTCTTCTGCAGTCATACGCTTCCTGAGAGCAATCTGCTGTTTGAGTTTGTTCACCTCGTCTTGAAGTTTTTCTCGAACACGTTCACTTTGCTCTACCTCCCCACACACAGCCTGAGGACAAGAACAGAAGGTGAAAACCAATATACCATCCAAACTATTAGACTTCATGTAATACGCAAAAATCCAACACATTTACAAGAAAAATACCTGGACTTTATCTTGTAGTGCACTGTAGACTTGGAATATTGTTCGGATGTCCTTCATTACACCATCTTTGTCAAAGAACTCGGCTCTGATTAAACATGGGGGGAAAAACAACAACATTTTTATGTTTCATTGAAAAATTATTACAAAGTACAAACCTAAGCCATCTAGGAGATTACATCGCCTGTCAATATTGGTAAATATTTGCATTGCAAGTTGAGCGATGATATCTGGACAAGAAGGCCCAACTAAATCCAGTCTAGTCGAAGCTCATCCACAGCAGAAACAGTGGATCTAAATTTAGACAAAAGACACAAGCCAACGCATGTGCTGGCTGTCACATACCAGCCTTCCCATGGGCTCAGCCATCAGCACTACACCAAATACAGAGATAAAGAAAGACAGACAAGGACTTTATGAAAAAAAAGAACAAAAATAAAAGTGATGACTAGATATTAATCAATCATCAATATTACAACAATTAAAATAATCTAGAAAGATGCAATTCAGTCCTTCTGACCATTCCAATTGTTACATAACTTTGCATTGCTGCAGCTGAACTCAGGAACAATGACTAACTCTGGGATGCAACTGTTACCAGGCGCAGACTAACTTCATATTGTTTTACTGTGCTGATGTTAGTGCCTGCTGGACATAAAGAGCATTTACCTGCATTGCATGTGAGTTTTTTTATTGAAGACCTCAGCTTCGAGCAGCTAAACATATACTCTGTTATATTCTCTGGTATTATACAGTTAAACCAAAAAAAAAAAAAAAAAATCGTTAATAGGCTTAAAAGGATAACAGTGCAAGATGTTTATTTATCCAACCAGTTTTTTATCTATGTGTAAAAGGCCATGACATCTGAAAAAACATAAACTATATTCAAAAACACATCTTTTTGGTTTAGTTTACATCTTGACACAGTTTTGCTGCTTAAAATTTATTTATTTATTTATTCATATATATATATATATATATATATATATATATATATATATATATATATATATATATATATATATATATATATATATATCTGGCAGAGTCCATCTGAAAGGTGGATGTTAACTACAGAAACTGGAGAAGAGTTTGAATGAAGGAAACATTAAACCTTTAAAAAAATAACTCACAACCAGAGTCTTCAAGGGGCTTTATTGTTTTAACCATAAATGAATATAAAAAGGGCACAAATCCTACAAGCATAGGGGCAAATTCCTGCGATTATATGGCCTGAACTCCAAAATGTTTCTCTTTCTCCTTTGACATTTAAAAAAAATGCAAAACAAAAGACATAGCATGGGACTCTTTTTAGCAACTTCTTGCTCATGAAAGAGCTACAAGGCATGAGGACACTTCTTAAACCTAACATTTTAAGTAGAGCATCAGTGTGTGCATCTCATTATTGTGCCAACCGCTGACAGTCATATTCATCCCAATATTTTTTCTCTACTAATAAAATTAACTTTGCCGTATCAGATACTCTGATGACAAAGAGACGGATTATGTGTATAACTTTAATTAAAAACTTCTCTCTGAACCATTTTTCTTTCATGAAATAGACAGTTTACCACTTCTTTGGCTCTTTGAATGTATTGCTAATATATTAAGAATAAATAATATTATGCTTTGTTAGTTTAGTTTTGATTTATTAAGAGCAACAGAGCTATAATAAAAACAAACAAAAAGTTTCCATTCTTTTTAATTTGCCAGTTTTTTTCTTTACATAAAAAAATGTGTTTAGTAAAGGACTTGAAGTGGAAGTACTTGCTCGTCTAGGAACAAATAAAATAAAATTGGGTTGTAGAGAACCAATTGGAAAAACTAATAAAAATGAACCTTATGAATCCCATCATGAACAAACGACAGCTGCTGCAGTTCAATAAATATTAGGACCGACTTAACTGTTAGCAGAGGCATTGAAGAAGCACTAAAAAAAAAAAAAAATCAAAGAAGACTTACCCGTGTTCTTTGATGACCTTGGCATAGTTGCTTGAGGTGTTAGGTACTGAGGAGAGTTTGTATTCCTGCTGGCTTGTGTTGCCAAGATTTGGGATGGAGAGAGTAATCCGCTGGTTGTACCTACTGGGTGAAATAACCAGTTAGTACCAAATCACAACATCATTACTAACTAATTTCCAGAAACTGAAATAACAGCTATGTTACAGTAGGTCATATATTTATTGTTCAGGTTTTATGTTTAAAGTGTGTCGATTTTTAAGCTCAGAATCTCCAGTTTATTGGCTTAAACCAAGTTAGAAACCTTGTTGATTCAGCCACTAAACTTGAGCCTCTTTCTGCTCACAATTGCATGAACGTAAAGGTCCTCAAAGGGAGCAGTCAACTGCTACCTATGCGGAATATTTCCCCTCTTGGGTTTAGAAATCAGGACAAAGGTAAGATAGTGTAGGTTAAGGTATGTATTTGTAATGGTCAGGGGCAAAGTCCTCTTAAGGACAGCACAACACAACTGTTTATTTTCCTATTTGGCCATCTGAGTAGAAGACACTTTCATATTTTATCATCAAAGAGAGATCAGTTCATTGTGAAATGAGGACATTTCTGGTTCCTAACAAGCTATTTTGCAAATGGTTAGGTTTAGGGCTAAGATGTGAATCCAGTTTAGAGTTATATTTAGGTTCAGTTATAGTGAGGGATAGGGCATAGAAAGGTTTGTAAATGCCTGAAAAATAAATGGAAATCGATACATGGTCCTCACTATAAACAGAAAGATGAGAATGTATGTGTTTTGAACCACTGCAAACAAATCTATTTGCAGGTATAAAGTAACTCTGAATCTTGGATTGCTCTGGCTATTTGAATGTGCTTCTTTTCTCTACATATCCAGTTTATATAGTTAATGCCAGTAGATTATAATCCCGGAATATTGACAGATTCACATCAATGATTGTTTCTGGCATTGTTACCAACTTAGAGGTTGAACTTAGCAAAAGAGGTGACATAGTTTCTAAGGCTGCTTCATGTGGATTCTAAAGGGCTAGTTATACTCCTGCAGCAATGTGTCGCAGTGAGCTTGACGCAGATATTTTTGATTTATGCACAATATTGAAGCGTGGTCTGCGCTATACGCTGTGGGTCTAGATGGTCCGAGGCGGTGAGGAAGTGGAGGCGAGTTTGTCCGACAACGGAGGGACATGATGGCGAAAAATAGCGGGGATCCAGGTGGAAAAAGGGTCCCAGCGTTCTCGCGTATCTCGCTCTTCTAGCTGGTCCAACTTGACGAGTAGTTTTTCAAAATTTCAGACAGAAATTCCCAGAAACCTGGGGAAAAAAAAGCTTCCTTCATTCCAGAATTCCAGTTCTTTGTTTACTCCTATAACATTTTAAAAGTTTGGTGATTAAAGACAGAGGGACTGTTAACCATTCAGAATATCTGAATATTAAAGAGTCATTTATGCTGTAAAATCTAAAAAAGGTTCTAGAGGCATTTGGAAAACAATCAGGCACTTAGCATCACAGACCATCTACCTTTTCTGTCAATTTGCAGGGGATGTTTATGGGCATAATGCCGGTGTAGTTAGAAGTTTACGTCTCAACTGGATAATTTATTAAGGGTTTATAAAGGAATGAGTAACTCTAATTTAATGCTTTTTAATGCTCTTAGAAATAAGATATACACACACATATGCAGCTGTGTCCAGATTTCCTAATTTTCCAGACACTTTTGTTGAAATTTTCATTTTCTCATTCACTATCTTTTTCTCCGCCTCGAGCTTCTGTTCTTAACAAATTGCTTGACGATCAACCAGATGCCACAATAATCACACTTAATGAATTTTAATGCCAGTTAGGGCCTTAATTTAAAAAAATAATAATTTAATGACTTTTAATTATTTTTAATGACCCGCGGAAACCCTGTTATTGCTTTAAAGTAGCACTCAAGTCTTATTGTACAGATCCAGGCAAATGCTCGCCAGTATAAGACTAGTTCCACTGTCAGAGACTAAAAGAAATACTAGTGTGAATCCCATGGAAACTACTGGATTATAATTCATAGAGACTCTTAAGTCTACTACAAAAAAAAAAAAAAGACCATCAGGACACTGCTTATTGTGCTGCTGCTAGTTTTGTAAAAACAAGAACCTTTTCTTTCCCTAAACACTTCCCCCCATTAAATAAATGTAAAGAAAAGTTATTAGTTTTCCTTGAATGAGATTTTGCAAACTGCATTGCAAGGTGAGTTTATCTGATGTCTTGTTTTAAAGGAATAGTACACCCAAAACATGATTAGCCTTCATTTTCTACTCACCCCCATGCTGAACAACACTCTGGAGTACTTTTTTGATATCTCAAATGCATCTGGAGATCTGGGAGGCTTCTTGCTGTCTGCTGACATTCAAATAATGGAGGTCTATGGTGACCGAGACAGAAAGGTCCATAAAAGTCCACAAAAACGTGTCAATATTCCTCCATACTGCTCTTCCAATGTATTCCAAGTTTCCTGAGTGGGTAGCATCGACAATTTACTCGAAACGAAGTCATTTAGAATGTTTTTAGAGCATAAACAGTAGTGTATAGGATTTCCTGAAAGCGCGCACATGCGCGCTCACGACGCTACGGAAGCCGGCAGACCAAACCAGCGCATTCAGCTCTTCAAAGAACTCATGCTCTTCCTCAACACTGAAGTCCTCAGACATTTTTCTTTCGTTGTTTCTTTCTTTGCACAGGTAAACAGCACATTTCTTCTTCTACGCTTGCATTATTGGCAGAGCAGACGCTGAATGCGCACTTTCATCTGGTTTGGTCTGCCGGCTTCCGTAGCGTCGTGAGCGCGCATGTGCGCGCTTTCAGGAAATCCTATACACTACTGTTTATGCTCTAAAAACATTCTAAATGACTTCGTTTCGAGTAAATTCTGGATGCTACCCACTCAGGACACTTGGAATACATTGGACGAGCAGTATGGAGGAATATTGACACGTTTTTTGTGGACTTTTATGGACCTTTCTGTCTCGGTCACCATAGACCTCCATTATTTGAATGTCAGCAGACAGCAAGAAGCCTCCCAGATCTCCAGATGCATTTGAGATATCAAAAAAGTACTCCAGAGTGTTGTTCAGCATGGGGGTGAGTAGAAAATGAAGGCTAATCATGTTTTGGGTGTACTATTCCTTTAATACATCTTTTCCACAAAAGTCAATATTTGTCTGTGTCACCATGCACTCCAGAAGGAGAGGAGAAGATGTAAAAAGTTTAAACTGGAGCTTCATCCTTCAAAAAAGGAAATCTCACTAAAGACATAAATATTTCAGCTAGGGCTGCAACAACGAATCGATAAAATCGATAAAAATCGACTTTTAAAAGCGTTGGCAACGAAATTCATCATCGATTAGTTGTGTCGCGCAATTAATGCGTCATCCGCCGCCGCCGTCATAACTGCCACTTGACTGAAACGGGGGAAGAAAAAAAAAAAACGACAGAGGGAGCCAGCGCCGCAGGTGCAGTGTTGCCAACTCAGCGACTTTGTCGCTGTATTTAGCGACTTTTCAGACCCCTCCAGTGACTATTTTTCAAAAAAAGCGACTAGCGACAAATCTGGCGAGTTTTTACGGTGTCACTGGAAGCTTTTGGAGACTCTTACGTGAAAGCATGTATCGTTCCTACTCTTGTCCTCCAGCGGCAGCTGCTGCCCTGGGGAGCCTCCCCCATCCCAACCCCGTTCTCCCGCTCCCGCAGGAGTCCCTCTCAGCGCTGCAGTCAAAGGATGTTTATCCTCAGCGTCCAGACTGCAAATGAAGCGTGCATGCGCCGGGATTGACGGCGCAAATTTATCACAATAATTAAAATAGCCTGCGCTTTGTAAAGCGAAAAAAAAGTCTTAACATGCAACTTTTGTAAAAACAAATTAACATGGCACGGAAGCACCACTGTTATGATGCAGCAGCTGAAAAGAAAACACCTTGGAGCCTTCAATGGGAGTGAAGAGAGCTGATCAGCAGGATGAGTAACCATGTTTGTTTCATTTTAAAGTCGGGAAACGTAACGTTGGTTTCTCAGGTAGCTCAACTGATGCTTTCCTTACTGTGTTAGTAGGTTACAGACAGTGATAAGATTGGCTACTTATTTTACTTTTAATTTCATTTGAATTAGCTTAAGCAGCGTTTATATTTTCTTTATAAATAAATTAACTTGCAAATTATGAGGGCAAGGCTTTTAAAGTTTAAATCTTCTGGCAAAGATAAAGTAAAGAAGATCCTGCAATTTATGGAAGTAAAGCAGAATAAAAACCAGCAAGATCAGTAATATGTCAATTAATTATATGCCACATTCCCATGTAAATATCTGTCTTTGGAGGATGTGTTTTTTAGCACCCCTAGTTCTCTCATTTTTATTCCAAATACAATTTATAATTTGAATCACAGGGCTATTTTTATCTCTATGGTTCAGTATTTTCTCAAGTAGCAACTTTAACTGCTATACTTTCCTGTCTTAAAAGGCAGAATTCTTCTAGTCTAAAAAACCTAATTTGTTGAAATGGGGGGACCTATTGTTTGAACCCCTTAGGGGCTTTTAAAAACAAAAATGCCTGTCTTTTTTTGTGCTTTATGAAACAAAGTATAGGTATATTTTGTGGATGTACAGCTACATTTCTCATGTAAGTTTGTGTAGTTTTAACACAAACATTTATTTTTCATATTGCACCAGTACAGTTAATGAGCAACCTGTACTTGTGTTCTTGTTTGTTTTGTCTAAAATGTTTATTTTGGAATAAAGAGGTTAATATAAAAAATATTTTTTGTCCGATTCATCGAAAAAATAATCGGTCGATTCATCGATTTTTAAAATAATCGTTAGTTGCAGCCCTAATTTCAGCAGACACGTACTGTTGCTAAAGAATAGGATGACCGGACAACATGTTGAAAAGATAATGTGATTCTGTGGCACCTTCGGTTGGGTCTGAAGAGCACATACTCCAGTGCATGTGTGGAGCTGTTGGCTGTGGAGATGAAGCTGAAAAGGAGGAAGACGAGGTCGGGCACACCAAGCAGCTGAGTCAGCTGTTTGTGGATGATCTGCTCCCGGAAGGACATCTGCTGCTGCGTGTTCCTCCGGAACCGATACCAACCAATCACATTCTGCACACAAGTTTGAAAATCAATTAGATTTAATTTATGGACTTAAAATACTGTCCCGCATTATTTCACAAAACTAATATGTAGTTATTTTTAAAGCAAATGGGAAAACAATGAAATTAGCCTTTTTTTTTTATAACAACATAGTTTTAAAGTCTAAACAATGAAAGAACTCACTTTCCGCCTATCTTTAAGAATGTTGTTTAGAGTTTCCTCGCTGACTTTACCCGCGTAGTCATAAAAGCTGATAAAAGAGAAAAAAAAAAGAGAAAAAAAAAAAAAAAAATAGATCACATACATGCATCAGGTTCATCATGTTTTTTTCTACCACAGGCCTCCAGTAACATCCAGTCTTGTCAGAGGGAGCCACCGACTGTTAGATTAAATTAATATTAGCAGTGAGTGGAAAACAGCTTTATTAAATATAAACCCACTGACATTTCAGACATTGTTTTGCTTGGAAAAATAAAGCGTTTATTTAAATAATTTTAGCCGAATTACTGCAGAACATTATCAGGAATAAAAGTCTGCAAGTAGCAGATCATCATTGGAGATTTAATTTAAAAAGGTTGTTGCTTACCTAAACAACTGCCCACAGGGGTCATGGTTATGGATTTCTGGAAGGGGAAGAACAATTTGTTTCAGTAACAAACAATCATGAATATATTCTTTCATCTTAATGCATTGTCCTACTGCAGGACTGAGTGTGGAGAACAGGTAAGAAACAGAATAGATAGTAGATAATTTCACATTTATCATGGAAGTTGTGTCATCAGCCCGTATTAAATGCTTTCCAGAAGCACCCATACATTTGACATATCAGTAGATTTCTGTCTAAACAAGACTTGTTTATTACATTTTCCTAATCTAGTTTCCATTCACCGAGTTTGGCACACAAAAAAGCTTCCATGAAAGCTTTAAATGGTCTGAATATTCTTGTGAAAAAAAAAAGCCACTCTCCGCTTTGCTTGCCTGATATTTGGCTAAAGTCTCAGATACCATCAATTAATGAATTGTTGAGTCATCGAATGGCTAAGAGTCCTGAGCAAGTTTTAAAAATGAAGCAAATGTATATAGAAAACAGGCAAATAGACCTCTGATCCTAGAATGGCCCATGCATTTAACTTAACATATTTGACAAAATGTAGATAATAAACTAGTAGTGACATTGTCTTTGTTAGTCACCATTAATTAAGTAATTCAATGTGACACTATTGGTCTAGCAAAATTTCTTTAGAAAAAAATCCATACTGATAAACTTTGACCCAGTAACTGTGTTTTAAGGAATGTTGACTCGCATAAATGAGTTCATATATGCATCAATAAGCAATGTTTTAATTGACCAGTGCTTACCTACAACCTGCACCAGCTCCGAACTGCTAATTTGTGTGTCACTGATGCTGACCGTCTCTTCCTGCCTTACATCCCCTAATAGGAAGCCTTCCTGTAGAAGAAAATACATTTTAAGAAAATGTATTGGAGGCACAAATATTGAGTTTGCAAAACTGTGAGATAAACAAGTTTTTCAATAAAAAATTAAATAAAACCATGTTTATTGTTGCCCTTGAATTAGATTTTTTTTCAGCTGTATTCAAATTTCCCACCTATCCCCGTATCTATCGTTGAAGCAGAGAGGAAAAAATGGCTTGTATTTATCAAAAGCTGCTGATCTGGACGGGCTTGGTTTAAATCGGGTCACAGCCTCATGTCAAACCGCTTATAGCCATATGGTTTGACCTAAATACTCAGAAGACCAAAACTGAGTGCATCAAACCTGCAAAAAGGATGACGGTGCACACCGAGTCAGAATTTACAAAATGACTCAAAAGAACAAAACAAGTTGCTTAATTTAACCTCAAACTGTACAAATGTGATGACATCTTAACACAACAATCTATGAGAATAATTTTAATATTGTTACGGCCCAAGGCCTTTTCCTCTGGGTCTCTAACATCCATGTTTTGGACTCCTTAATTGGTGCTGATTGGAAGTGGAGGCAGCTGGCCAGTGTCTCCAGATGACGTCAGATCTAGGGCTGCAACTAACGATTATTTTTAAAAATCGATGAATCGGCCGATTATTTTTTCGATTAATCGATGAATCGGACAAAAAAAAAATTTTTATATTAACCTCTTTATTCCAAAATAAACATTTTAGACAGAACAAACAAGCACACAAGTACAGGTTGCTCATTAACTGTACTGGTGCAATATGAAAAATAAATGTTTGTGTAAAATCCGTGTATCATTCGTTCTTTCTATTTTCAATTGCCAATCAAAAAACAAAAAATTGACTGGTTATTTTGTTTTTTGTTTTTTATGGTTAAACCAAAAACGAAAAAAGGATTTGTTTTTCATATATCAATTCTAAGCTCAGATCAAGAATACGAAATGGAAAAACGGACAGCAACGCATAATTTGATTTTAATATTTAATCGGTACAGTTTACGTGACCCGGAAATAGCTCTTTGCGCAGCAGTTGGGGTAATGAAGTGGTTACCATGGCGACGCTAGAACCATACACTATGTTGATCGAGAAGCTGTTTGTTGTTGCTAGTTAAAAGTACAGTGCACAGAAAAGTTTCAAGACAAAAGTTATACCTGGAAAATCCTGCTGATTTTCTCCGTTGTCATGTCCTCCTCCTTAAGAGTCACACGCTTGGATCCTCGAAATAACACGTAACTGTCCATGGCTGATAGGTCCGACTGCCTTATCTGGTGCAGCTTGATCGAACGTGGTGGGGGTAAGCCAATTGTTTTTTTAGCTAACGCTCCACCAAACTTCCGGGTCACGTAAACTGTACCGATTAAATATTAAAATCAAATTATGCGTTGCTGTCCGTTTTTCCATTTCGTATTCTTGATCTGAGCTTAAAATTGATATATGAAAAACAAATCCTTTTTTCGTTTTTGGTTTAACCATAAAGAACAAAAAACAAAATAACCAGTCAATTTTTTATTTTTTGATTGACAATTGAAAATAGAAAGAACGAATGATACACGGATTGTGTAAAAACTACGCAAACTTACATGAGAAATGTAGCTGTACATCCACAAAATATAGGCTACTTTGGTTCATAAAGCGCAAAAAGAGACAGGCATTTTTGTTTTTTAAAGCCCCTAAGGGGTTCAACAATAGGTCCCCCCATTTCAAGAAATGAGTTTTTTTAGACTAGAAGAGTTCTGCCTTTTAAGACAGGAAAGTATAGCAGTTAAAGTTGCTGCTTGAGAAAATACTGAACCATAGAGATAAAAATAGCCCTGTGATTCAAATTATAAATTGTATTTGGAATAAAAATGAGAGAACTAGGGGTGGTAAAAAAACACATCCTCCAAAGACAGATATTTACATGGGAATGTGGCAGATAATTAATTTACATATTACTGATCTTGCTGGATTTTGTTCTGCTTTACTTCCATAAATTGCAGGATCTTCTTTTCTTTATCTTTGCCAGAAGATTTAAACTTTAAAAGCCTTGCCCTCATAATTTGCAAGTTAATTTATTTATAAAGAAAATATAAACGCTGCTTATACAAATGTAAATGAAATTAAAAGTAAAATAAGTAGCCAACCTTATCCCTGTCTGTAACCTACTAACAAGGTAAGGAAAGCATCAGATGAGCTACCTGAGAAACTAACGTTACGTTTCCCCACTTTAAAACCAAACAAACATGGTTACTCATCCTGCTGATCAGCTCTCTTCACTGCCATCGAAGGCTCCAAAGTGTTTTCTTTTCAGGTGCTGCGTCATAACAGTGGTGCTTCCGTGCCATGTTAATTTCTTTTGAAAAAAGTTGCATGTTATCACTTTTTTCACTTTACAAAGCGCAGGCTATTTTAATTATTGTGATCAATTTGCGCCGTCAATCCCGGCGCATGCGCGCTTCATTTGCAGTCTGGACGCTGAGGGTAAACTCCTCACTAAAATCCTGCGGCTCTGACTGCCGCGCTGAGAGGGATTCCTGTGGGAGAGGGAGAAAGGCGTTGGGATGGGGGAGGCGCCCCACGGCAGGCAAAAGCCGCCAGTGACACCGTAAAAAGTCGCCAGATTTGTCGCTAGTCGCTTTTTTGAAAAATAGTCGCTGGGGGGGTCTGAAAAGTCGCTAAGTTGGCAACACTGCAACTGCGGCGCTGACTCGCTCCGCCATATTTTTTTTTCTTCCCCCGGATGACGGCGGCGGCGGATGACGCATTAATCGCGCGACACAACTAATCGATGATTAAATTCGTTGCCAACGCTTTTAAAAGTCGATTTTTATCGATTTTATCGATTCGTTGTTGCAGCCCTAGTCAGATCCACTTTAAGATGTACCACTTTCTTTGACTAAGTCCCTTATTTTCTTTCTGTCTCCCTGCCACTCTCTCCCCCTTCTCCCTTTCTTCCCCAACCAGTTATGATTTTTGTTAAATAAATTCCCTTTTTAAGTTATCCCTAGCGTTGCTTCCCTTTCATTTGTTATGGTTTAAGAGCCGGACCATAACAAATTGGGGGCTTGTTCAAATTTATGTTAGGTTTGTTACGTTAGTTAATTAGTAAACATTGTTTGTTAATTTAATTGGGAAGCTTGAGTTTAGTTTTGGGGAAATGTTTTTTTGTTTCTTTTTTCTCTGGTTTGGGGTAAGTGGCTTGCTTTTATCTCATCTGATGAGCTCACTGGTAAGTCTTGATTGTTGTCTGATTTGTGCAGTTCATTATGTCTGATCTGAACTGATTCCCCTGTAGGCCTCAGCGTGTCTCCCCTTTGGGATTCATGTGCTCAAAAACAATAGTGTGAGATCATATGGTTGGAGCAGTTGTCTCGGGGGCACAGCCATAGTGTTGGGGGGGTTGCCGATTTTCTGGTCGCCTCTTCCACTCTACTGGTATTAAGTGCGTAAATACCCACCGTCTCTGATCTCTGAAGACTAGGGTTGAGCTAGAAAGTTTTGATAGGCAGTTAGAGGGGAGGTTCGGGTTGGTTGTTTTGTGTTGCACGGAATGTCAGCAATTAAACTTTTGAATCATTGTTTTTTTGATTAAGACTTTAGTCATGTCTGTGGAGGACTTTAATAAATCCCCATCAGTAGAGTTTTTGGAGCAATGTTCTAGAGAACAATTGGTAAAAATTGCTGAACACTATAAAATAAGTGTTGGTGACAAAAGGTTGAAAGACAATGTCAAAGCAGTTTTAAGGGAGAACCTAATTGAGATGGGTGTTTTGTTTTCACCTTCCAGACCTGAAGATTTGGGTGCTCAGGTTGTAAAGCCTGACCTTTTGGATTTTGAGCAACAAAAAGAGATGTTAAGGTTGAGAATGCAACTGGAGAAGGAAAAGGAGTTGGCTTTAGAGAGGTTACGACAGCAGGCAGATTTGGATAAGGCTCTTGCTTTGGAAAAGATGAGACAGGAAACTGAATTGGCGAGAATAAATTTGGAAAGTGAAAAATTAAATCTGGTGAAAGATGGCAAATTATCTGTGGAATCTTGTGGTGGGGACTCAAAATGCAAACCCTCTGATATTTTAAATGACTTGCGTTTGGTGCCCAAGTTCAGTGAAAAGGATGTTGACACTTTTTTCACTTTGTTTGAAAGGGTTGCAGACACAAGAGATTGGTCTGATTCAGACCGCATAATTTTGCTTCAGTGTGTTTTGGTTGGTCGTGCTCAGGAAGCTTTCTCTATGTTGAGTTTGAATGATGGCCAAGATTATGCTAGGGTTAAAGCTGCAATATTGAAAGCATATGAATTAGTCCCTGAAGCATACAGACAAAAGTTTAGAAACTGGAAAAAAGGTGACAAAACTTATGTGGAATTTGCAAGAGATTTGGAAATTCATTTCAACCGATGGTGCACTTCCTCTGAGGTTATAACACTTGGTGACCTCTGTAATTTAATGGTTTTGGAACAATTTAAAAACTCTGTTTCTCATAATATTGCAGTGTACATTAGTGAACAGAAGGTTAAAACGGTGTCAGAAGCTGCAGTGTTGGCTGATGATTTTGTCTTGACGCATAAAGATACAAGTGGAGAGCATGCAGATGGAAGGAGAGTTCCAAACTGGCATTCGACACATTCTGGAGGTTCTTTTCTTGATCGCAGTAACCATGATCTGGACAAAATTTGTAATTATTGTCACAGAAAAGGTCATTGGAAGAAAGACTGTGCTTTGTTGAAATCCAGAAATAAAAATGGAACTCAGGCTAAACCAGCAGCGTTTGCTGCATCAGTTTCTGTGAATGTTCCTCACGAAGTGGCTGAAGTAAAATCTCCTGTAAAATCTGATTTGAGTTCGTACAAACCATTTCTGTTGGAAGGACAAGTTTCTTTGGTTGGGAGTGATGTTAAGGTGCCAGTTACTATCTTAAGAGATACTGGTGCATATGATTCGTTCATTTTGGCATCTGTTTTACCTTTTTCGGATGATTCTGACACTGGATTATCTATACCCATGTTGGGTATGGGCA